GTTCACTATCTGACTTCAGAGAGGGACCTGAAATCAGATCCAGATCCAGCTCAAAGCAAAAGCAAGTCCAAAGAGAGTCTTTCAAAAATCAAGAAATGCTGATCATCACAGGTAAAACGGTGAATGAGATCAGCGGCTTCTGGAACAAGAAAAAAGTCAAAGTTCTCAGTTTTGCTGATAAAGTGTCTGACCTCACAGAGAAGATTCTGCAAATAACAGCTGAGTATCCAACTTTGAATACACTCATCATTCATACAGGAAGTGAGGAAGTTATGAACCGACAGTCAGAAATCCTGAAGAAGGATTTTATTCTGTTGCTGAATGCAGTTAAAAATCTCAACATGGATGTGTTCCTCAGTGGGCCCGTTCCYACAGCMAGAGGAGGAGCTGAGAGGTTCAGCAGACTGTTGGTTCTTAATGGTTTTTTGGGAAAAGTCCTGTGTTGACCACTCTGTGAGATATGTGGACAACTTAGACCTCTTCTGGGAAAGAAAACACCTCTTCAGGTCTGATGGGGTGACTCTGAATCAAACTGGAGCACAGCTTCTGGCTTCAAACATGAAGTATTTCCTGAACAAAGTTCTGGCTGGAAACAAACAGGAAAAATCACAACAGCTGACGTCTAAAGGACAGCTGGAGAAAACKGAGATATCAGTGGAACACAGCATGCCAGTTACTGATAAGGAGACTGCTTCAGAATCAGAACCAGAGAGAGAGGAGTTATTTCAAGCTGCAGAACCAGCATCACAAACAGAGGATCTCTTGCACTCTGAGACCCCAACAGGACAGCAAGTGGAATGCCCCCTCCTGGATTTTACTAACAACATGAAAGAACCTGGTGAGATTAATTTCAAACAAACGCCATGCCCAAATCCWSSTAACCCTCCTCTTCCAGCCCTTCGCACTAAACCAAGATCTACAAGAAGTCACAGAGCCCCACCACCACCTCTGACCCTTCMACACATCAAAACAGATGAGCCTGTTTGTGTTCAAGATGATCCAAAGACTTTTGTGTGATAACTATGTTTTGCGGTTAGTAATTACTGAGGGAGGAATAAAAATTGAATTACTGGGGTTGGGATTTTAGAAAAGTACATATACTGTACTTAGGTTTATGTTGACATGTTTTTTTAAATACATTAAAGAGTTTTTTTTGTTTTATTGATCATTTAATTGGTGATTTAATGATCAGATGGAGGAGATGTAATGGATCTAATACTTTTATGTTTAAGCTAGTTATTCATGACGTCCTTTAATGACCTAGGTTTTCATGATATGCTGCTCWTCTGCACATAGAATGATTAAAGTCAGAACAAAATTTGCTAACAACAGTCATTTTTAGATATCACTTGTGTTTATCTTTGTGTTTTCCATTGGCCTTGTATCAAATCTTTCTAAGATGACAGAATGGTGTTTGTTAATATATATATGAGGCCTCTTGAGACACAATGTTCAACAGTAGTGTGGAGAGACAGTGACAGAGAGAAGCAGAGRCACAGAGACAGGCCAGGTTGTTCTCTGTGTTCCTGTTGTTGCAATAAAACTCAACTGATCATCTCACGGAGTACCTTCATTCTTGGACCATGTATTTCTGTCTTTGTTAAATAAATATTGCCATAACAGCAGTGTATGCTTAAAAGTGAGAAAAGTGGACAAGTGGAGGACAAAATAAGAAATTGGGTCTCATTTCCTATTTATAGCTAAATGAACTGCATATTCAAAGGTCATGCTATAAAAAACTAGGATAAAATCCATCAAAGTTTCATCCTTCAGATGATCTATTGAATGACAAGTTTTCAGATAATAGCTCTTTGGAAATCATCTTGTTGGCATTAAAATTCAAACTTGTGTCAAGCTGTGTTATTTTGTGTTTTTCAATGATTCAACATAAGAAACAGAATCAAATTGTGTTTTGTGGTAAACACTTTGCCACAAAACACAATTTGATTGATAGATCAGGATTAAATAGCTTTGCAAACAAACCAAAAAATAAATTGTTTTTAAACATTTCTCTGAAAACGGTCAAGTACCGGTACTACTGGACCAGAATTGAGTTGTGGAAGAATACAAGAATACATCTGCACACAAAAACTTTGAACAACTTKTGTAACATCTGAAAAAAATTGTTCCTTTGAAAATCAAAAATAAAAAATAAAAAAAACTGGTTGCTTGGAAGGAAAATATAAAGATTGTAGGAATGAATCAGTACAAGCAACTGTGATGATGAAAAATGACTAATCAATCGAGCATAACAGTCCACCCAGGAAACCACATCGTGAAACTTTTTATATATTTTAATTTTTTCAGGAGTTTTCTTCATCCCTTACGTACTTTTCCTCTTCACCTGTGGTATCCCTTTGTTTCTGCTGGAGACATCTATTGGCCAGTACACCAAGCAGGGATCCATCACCTGCTGGAAGAAAATCTGTCCACTATTTGAAGGTAAAGTTACTAATTTACAAATGGAGACATGTAACTCAGATATCACCTTGTTGTTCTTATCTGTACAAATGAATGTGAATTTGACTGAACCTCAGTTTTTTTATCCATATTCGGTTGGATTAAAATTAAATGTACAAAGATCAGCAATATGAATAAATTAACAAACCTCGCTCTTTCTGCTCAGTAAGAACACAGATGAGTTGCAGGAAAAAAAGACACTTCTTTAACATTGAAGCATGTGACCTTGTAGAAACCCAAAGAATAAAATGATGAACCTGGGCTGTTTGAACACATTATCTTTTGTTTGTTCGTTTGTTTTTTAGGATTAGGTTATGGCAATCAAGTGGTTGTTTTGTACTCCAGCATCTATTACATCGTCATCTTAGCCTGGGCGTTCCTGTATCTCTTCTCCTCCTTCACTTCTGAACTTCCGTGGGCAAGCTGCAGGAACAGCTGGAACACAGGTAAGACCTAACATCTGATCAAAATAAGAAAAAGGCACAAATAACCAGATTAGCATCCATCTTTAATGCAGTTTTTGCTACTTTGACATGTTCTCGTTTGGGATCAATTTGTCCGTTTGAGGATCTTGTTGCGAACCAACACTGTATCCACATTTATCAGATGTTCATAATACAAACAGCTCAACATATAAAAAAAAATATATTTTATATAACAAGCGTCAACCTCCATTTTATTACTTTTGACATTATACTACATTAACTTGAATCATGTATGTCGATCAGACACAAACGTAGACTAAAGCTTCGTGAACATCCATCCATCCATCCATCCATCCATTTTCTTCCGCCTATCTGGGGTCGGGTCGCGGGGGCAGCAGCTTCAGAAGGGAGGCCCAG